AAAAAATACTAAACTTCAGAATAAAATAAAAAAAATTATAATAAAAATAGTATATAGTATAGTTAACATTTATGCAAAAATTCAACAAAATTTGGATAATAAAAAAAGAAATATTTAGACTTTTATGAAAAAGTGCACCGAAGAAATTTTCAATAAAAGCAAATTGTTGTATTACAATTTTGGTAAAATCGTGAAAAAATACTAAACTTTAGAATAAAATAAAAATTTTAGTACTAAAAATAGTATATAGTATAGTTAGCATTTGAGCAAAAATTCAACAAAATTTAGATAATAATACCAACAATATTCAGACTTTTACAAAAAAAAGTGCACGGATAAAATTTTCAATCCAAATTGTTGTATTACAATTTTTGTAAAATCGTAAAAAAATACTAAAATTTAGAATAAAATAAATATTTTGATACTAAAAAATAGTATATAGTATTGTTAACATTTTTGCAAAAATTCAACAAAATTTAGATAATAATTCCAAAAATATCTAGACTTTTACAAAAAAGTGCCCGGATGCAATTTTCAATAAAAGCAAATCGTTGTGTTACAATTTTGGTAAAAACATAAAAAATACTAAATTTTGAAATAAAATAAAAATTTTGATACTAACAAATATTATATAGTATAGTTAACATTTGTGCAAAAATTCAACAAAATTGGAATAATAATACCTTAAATATTTAGACTTTTATACAAAAGTTCACGGATAAAATGTTCAATAAAAGCAAATTGTTGTATTACAATTTTGGTAAAATCGTAAAAAAATACTAAACTTTAGAATAAATAAAAAATTTTGATATTAAAAATAGTATATAGCTTTATTACCATTTGTGCAAAAATTCAACAAAATTTAGAAAATAATACCAAAAATATTCAGACTTTTGTAAAAAAAAGTGCATGGATAAAATTTTCAATAAAAGCAAATTGTTGTATTACAATTTTGGTAAAATCATAAAAAATACTAAACTTTAGAATAAAATAAAAATTTTGATACTAAAAAATAGTATATAGTTTTGTTAATATTTGTGCAAAAATTCAACAAAATTAGATAATAATACCAAAAATATTTAGACTTTTTTAAAAAAAAGTGCACGGATGAAATTTTCAATAAAAGCAAATTGTTGTATTACAATTTTGGTAAAATCGTAAAAAATACTAAACTTTAGAATAAAATAAAAATTTGATACTAAAAAATAGTATATAGTATTGTTAAAATTTGTGCAAAAATTCAACAAAATTTAGATAATAATACCAAAAATATTTAGACTTTTTTTAAAAAAGGTGCACGGACAAAATTTTCAATAAAAGCTAATTGTTGCATTACAATTTTGGTAAAATCGTAGAAAATACTAAACTTGGGTATAAAATAAAAATTTTGATAACAAAAAATAGTATATGGTTTGTTAATATTTGTGCAAAAATTCAACAAAATTAGAATAATAAAACCGAAAATATTCAGACTTTTTTTTAAAAAAGTGCACGGATAAAATTTTCAATAAAAGCAAATTGTTGTACTACAATTTTGGTAAAATCGTGAAAAATACTAAACTTTAGGATAAAACAAAAATTTTGATACTAAAAAATAGTGTATAGTTTAGTTAACATTTGTGCAAAAATTCAACAAAATTTAGATAATAATACCAAAAATATTTAGATTTTTATAAGAAAGTGCAGGGATGAAATTTTCAATAAAAGCAAATTGTTTTATCACAATTTTGGTAAAATCATAAAAAATACTAAACTTTAGGATAAAATAAAAATTTTGATACTAAAAAATAGTATATAGTTGGTTAGCATTTGTGCAAAAATTTAGAAAAATTTAGATAATATATACCAAAAATATTTAGACTTTTATAATAAAAAATGCACGGATGAAATTTTCAGTAAAAGCAAATTGTTGTATTACAATTTTTGTAAAATCGTAAAAAATACTAAACTTTAGAATAAAATGAAAAATTTGATACTAAAAAATAGTATATAGTATAGTTAATATTTGAGCAAAAATTCAGAAAAATTTACATAATATATT